ACAGGTTTTGTTTATCTGGACGTCAAGAACTAAAAAACTAATTTAAAAGAGGAAAAGATGTCAATATACATGTTCTGCAGAAAGATGAAAACACCCTGTTTCCTATTCAAAGAATTTTGTAAAGTAATGTTAAGAATATACAGCTACTTGACTTTAAAAAATAAAGTAGAGGACTATCATGAGCATTTGAAATGTCAAAACACTGAATAACAGTTCATTGATCTCTTGAGGTCTGCAAATTAAATAATTTGTAAGTAGAACAAAAAAAGGATGAATATAGCTTAAAAACAAAGCCTCATGCAAAATATTTTAAAACTCAACACAACATGTGCAGCCTTTCTTTCAGCAGACAGTGAGAACAATGCACCTTCAGTCTCAATCGAGGACCCAGAATGCAGTTGCTGAGATTCTGGCAGGATGTACCACAACACACTCCAGACCCTCCTTCCTGGAGTGCTGTCTTCAGTAGCCTTAAGGAGTCCTCTATGCTTTCCTATACCAATGAGGCCTCAAATAATGCAAGGCTACTTCTGGAAACATAATGTGCCTCTGTGAATCTTGGCTTTCCTTGTTATTTCTAATGATTCTGCATATTATCTCTCTGTCACCTCTTGCTGAAGTCATTGTAGCACCATCTGCTCACCATCCACACATCTTCCCTTCTTAAGAAAGAATACAGTTCTTTTAAAGAACTTGAGTTCTTCAATTAGTGTATGAGTTTTCCTAGTTTAGATTTACAGTTTTAAGGAGATTAAACCTTTTTTTTTTTTTTTTTTAACTAGGCAATAACATGTAGAACTTTGTGGCAACTGTGTTATGTGTTGCTCACATTTTTTTCCCCCTTCAGGACTGTAGGTTTCTGTTACGGGTGTGGGTAGCCATAATTGACCTCTAAACAACACTGCTGTTACATTTTAGAAAGGAGCAATGTGGTATAATAGGGAAACACTAAACTGAAAGTCAAAACATTTATCCTTTGGCCTCAGCTCTTGCATAGGTCTGACTCCTCACTGCTTCCATCCTTCTTGGTATTCAGGTGCTTCACATGTTATAAACTACTCTAGGATCTCTGGCTATTGTAACGGCTTGTAACTGTAATTTGAGCAAGAAGTTAACTTTAAAGGACTTCTAAGGAAGGAATTTAGCTCTCCAAATTAATGCAGGCTTTCCAGCAAATTGTATACTTTGGTTAAAATGGGGCATTAGACAAGTAATGAAAGCAAGAACAGGATCTGTTGAATACCATTTCTTTTTAAAATATTTTATTATTTTTATTTTATATGTATGTATGTGTATATTGCCTGCATGTATGGAAGTGCACCCATCTTGTGCAGTGCCAGCAGAGGTCAGAAGAGGGCATCGGATCCCCTGGAACTGGAGTTATGGAGAGTTGTTAGTCACCATGTGGGTGCTGGGAATCAAAGTTGGGTCCTCTTCAAGAGTAATCAGTGCTTTTAATCACTGAGCTTCTCTCCAACCCCCTGAATACCATTTCTATATTCAGTTGTTTCAATGTTTGATAAGAGTTGGCGTTGTGGGAGTAAGATGGCTCAACAGCTAAAGGAGCTTGCCACCATGCCTCATGTCCTGAATTCGATCCTGGGACATACACGATGGAAGGATAGAATGCCTGCAAATTGTTCCTCTTACATCCACACACATGCCACAGCTTCTGCACACACACACACACACACACACACACACACACACACACAAAATAAGTGAATAAATAAATGAAAGAAAATGAAAGAAAAGTGTTAAAGGGATGTAAAATAAAAAATACCTTCAAACACCTGATATGTTTGAAATGCTGATATAAAATATTGTATTTCAAAATACAATATTTTATGTTTAAATTAATTTATTCCATCCTAACTAACAAGATTCATATTGTCTGTTTTCCATCTCCACTCCGATCAAAATGAAGGGTAATAATATGAAATTAAAGATAAAATAACATTCTTAGATGTTTAAGACACATTTTTCCATGGAAGACAAACATAGAGGCTCTGTTTGTCAGAAGGTCAGCCTCTATATTCCCTCACAAAAATATATAGGACATTTTAGAAGTCTATCTTTTCTGAAAGAATTATGCTTAATGATTCTCAATGATCCTATATAACATTTTTATTAAAAATAATATATTCCTTCCTGCATAATTAAAATGAGAAAAATGTATAAATACAGAAAACTATTAAGACTCATGCCTTCCTTAAATAAATTGCATCATAATATAAATTGGGTTTGTTAATCATTGATGTTGCTCTTGAAGATTCATTTCAGTCACCAGGATTGGAAGTTTTGATTGCTCCTGATGATTCCCTTATAGTTGTTCTTGATTATTTTCTAAATTTGATGACAAACACTGCAACATGTCTCAGCCAATTAGACTTGTCAGCTTCCACTGTGGTCCCCAATCAAGTGCTTGACTATGGAAATGACAGGAAATCCTTATTAAAAGTCATGGTTCTTGGATAGAGATGTGGCAGCTTGCATGTAGATGATAGCAGAAAACACAAGCTGCCTTTCCTTCAAAGCAGTAAGAATAAAACATTTTTAGCAAGAAATACTCTACACTATGAAATAAGGACAGAGGGTGAGGATTACATGCCTCACTTATAACTGATTATGAAATGATTCAAATTGAAATGAAATTAATTCCTTACTATCTATGGGCTACTCTCATATAAAAGTTACAAAAAAGTTAAGAAGAGTTACTATGTTATTGGTATGATTTTCCAATCAGTTGCACTAAATGCACCTCAAACCAAGTGTAAACAACAACAGTTGTGCTATTTGAAACTAAAGCAACTGAATTCCTTAAAAGGAACTTCCTGTACAAACTTCATTGCATAAGCAAACTGCCAAATTGTGGTGAGATATATAGATGCTGAGAGCTGATGGAAGACAATGCTAGGTCATTTTTATAGGTAACAGCAACCTCTTTCACAAAGATGTTTCCTATTTCAGTAACTAAATACACAAATTTTTATGTGTGCTGGATAAACACTATCAAAAGAAGAACACTTCGAATTTCTTAAAGAAGTGAAAAACTGTTTTAAGTAAAAAGATAGATCTAATCTGACCCTTCATATTTTTTTCTGTTTCAAGCCATTGTGCCACCCAAGATAGACTATGTTCTCATAGAGTTTATTATTTCCTTGTTTGAAACAATTAAATTACAAAATCTAGATTAAAAAGAATTAATATTTTAATTTTTATGAGAAATGGAGTAAAGGGATATAACATAAAAAAGCAATGAGGAGCAGGTTAAAGAGATGGCTCAGTGGTTAAGAGAACTGACTGCTCTTGCAGAGGGCCTGGTAGCCACATGATGGCTAACAACCATTCACAACCCCAGTTCCAGGGGATCTGAGCCCTTCTTCTGATCTCCACAGCCATTGCACTGCACGGGTGCACTCACACACATGCAGGTAATGAGGCAATGCTCATAAACATTAAAGAAAAAAAAAAAAAAGCAACGGAGTGGGGGAACCTCCTTCTGGTAATAAAATTTGAAGGATTTATTCATTCAGAAATCAAGTAGCAGTGTGAATACCTTTACATTTTACCTTCAATAAAACTAAATTTCCTGTGAAGACTGCTTCTGTTTCCTTGTGAATTCTCAACACACAGCAGAAAAACCACAGACCACTGTAGTTCAAAAAATCAGTAAGGTGACAAATGCCAATATTGAAGAATCACAGTGTTTCCATTTACAACATTTGGCAAAATAAACCCAAAAAATGTTGGGAATAATGCAAATAACCTTATTTTCCATTTTAAACCAAATCCACTTGAGATTATGCACTTGTAGGTCATGCTGTATGAATGTAAAAGGAGGAGCCTGAATTTGTTTCTTATTACATTCTGTCTTGCAATAATTTGATACCCATATGATGCAGTGAGATCACATGAAGTTTTTTATGTGGTAATAAATTAAATTATAAAATTCAGTAAATAAAACCCTACAGGTTATCTTTTTTGAATCCTTTAAGATAGATTCTCTCTCTCTCTCTCTCTCTCTCTCTCCCTCCCTCCCCTCTCCCACACTCTCAATAATAATCAAAGCCAGTAAAAAGATTCTCAAGTTAAGAAAGTATATAATCACATATCATGATTTGACTTATCCATACCACATACCAATAAGAACTCTGAAAATGGCTTTTTTTTTCAGAAATTGAATTCATTTCCCATTACTTTAGAAAACATCATTAATTAGGCATACATGCTGTTTCATCAATCATTTCAGAACTTAACTACACTTACTCAATACATTGAATTTCAGATTTCTGTTCAGAAAATACCTTTATAAATGTATTTCCATCTAACACTCAAGAACTGTTCTACCACACACATTAGGTCATTCATCATGGTGGTGGGGAACAGGGTGGGAGTGGGGGCGGGAACAGGAGGTGATACAGTAATAACCTACTTGTACTTTGCTTCCATATTTTTCCCCATTTAGTGTGCTGTCAGTTTAGGTTCCGCTTCTCAGTCACCCTTGTTTTATAGAATGTCTTTTAAATATAAGGTTCTGCATATTTGTGTACTCTATGAATAATGCATTCACAAGAGGAATCCAGTATACTATCTTTGGGATAATTTATAGATATAGAAAATTATCTTTCTTGCATTTAATATTTTTTTCCTGT